AGGTCAGATTGTGAGGTGTTTTAAATAGGCGAGCCCAGGATTGGACTGTGGTGAAAGATGGACCACACTTTCCCTTCCTCGCTCCCTGCCTGCCATTGCCTCTGTGCTGTGATGATGGATGCCCTGCCCTCTGTAAATATAGCCCTACCCCAGCTAGTTAGCATGACTGGCATGGTCCAGGCTGGTGGTCACAATCTAAATATATATCCAAAATAAATGCTTCCAGATTCAATTCTCATCTGTTGTTTATACAATCTTAAATGTTCATCAGAATTAACCATTTAGCTAAACTCATTCATTAACCAAACCAACATTATGAGAGGAGTGAACAGTGGCTGTATAATGTGCACAGAAGCTTTGCCCAGCGCTGTGGTGAGTGCAGTGCCAAGTCACAGAACTCGTAACTTGTTGCTATGGTTTCCATCCAAACTGTGTTTTTTTGTTTAAACCACTGATACTGTGGAATGAACCTGTGGGTGGAGAGAGGGCCAGCGCTCACAGCACACAGTAAGTGACGCAAGAACAGAGTTTATAGATTTAGATCCATTTAAGAGTACATTTAAAAGTAGTTTCAGGAGAGAAGTCACAAAAACCCTGAGACCACACTACACAGACCACACTACACACACAGAGGAACAATGGTGTTTCCCACAGGTGACCTGTCCACACAACCCTTATCAGACATCTGTGTCACATTCACACATCTAAAGCATCTCTATAAGCTCAGTCCAAAATACACAACTCACCCAGAACAGGACAACTGATCCATTGATATTGTTTTAGAAGATGCTTATCTCAGTGCTGCCTCTGCGCCATTGACAGGGAAGGAATCTCAATAACAATAGATGCCTCCTCCAATAGATGCCTCCTTCAAGATGACATATTTTACATGCATTAAACTGCAATTTTACCTCCACTATAACAAAATCTGTTAATTTGGTGTTGTTGTTGTTTTCAGCCCATTGTGTATTGTTAAAGTATATTTTCATGACTTGACAGTTACATAATTTTGTAAGCAGCCTCTCCATTATGTAGAAAATGAATTAGTAATTTTGCACAATATTCCTGATGTAGGGTGTTACCTGAAATAACCCATGAGGAGTGATGACAAATATGAGACAGTGATGTATTTCCCACACTGGCGCCACGCACAATTTAGATTTCCAAGCAACAAAACTAGTAAAGCAATGCAGAAGCACTTGTCTTATCTTGTTGATCCTGACACTAACTTCACGAAAAACTTTGTTGACTTTTTTTTTTGTTGTTGATCCTTACACTGACTTCACTGACAAAACTTCACGAAGACGAGTGGGTCTGGAACCATATCCTGTCTCCCCAATTTCAGAGACCGTGATTGACAAGAGGGTTGACCAATTAGAAAGACGCAGTCGTGCCAAAACAAATATGGGGGCTTAAAAAACAGCACAGAGCACATCATGGATTTTTGCAGAATCAACAATCGAAGGACCAAATTCTACTTTATGTAAAAGAAGTTATACTGTGTATATTTTGTTCTGAATGATACAAGAATTTTCTAAAGGAGATGGCTTCTGTTTTTAAGAGACAGATGCTCGAAATTAGCGGCTGTAGTTGGACTGTCCCAAGTTAGGACAGTGGTTTTTCACTCTATGGTCTGATTCCAGACCCTTCTGGATTCAAACAGATCGTAGAATTGACTAGCTGACCAAGTTTGTTTTAGGGCTTAGTATGCATTATTTGTAGCGCTGTTTTACCTTACCCTAGCTGAAAATGACCCTACCAATACCATTTGGAGTAGCTAGGGCAATTTTAACATTATAAAAGAGAAAAGTCATGGAGCAAGATAAACCAGTTGGCTTACTCATCAAAACATTTATAAATTATGAATTTTAACTAGGCTATTTAAAACCTGTTCTCCAGCAGTAATAGTAAGTACTTACGCATTTTACTAAATAAAGAAAAGCTTTTAAGACACTGAAACTTTTTCTTCAGTCAAACTATTATATTACTACTACATCTTCACATTGACATTTGTAGGAGGAGCTTGGGTGTTTTCAATTGCAGCTTAAGTTGACAACTTATTAACTTTGGGTCATATAACAAGGTTAATTTTAGACCTGGTAAACAGTGCAAAGTATGTGTTTGATTTGTGTTTCTTTTTCTTTGAAATAACAATTTGGCTGCAGTATTGAAACCTTTGTCTCTCTCAGACATTAATCTTTCCTATTTTGAACTGGTAAATCAAATATGATATATTAAATATTTAATATTGAAAATATTATTATATATTAAATATTTCCCGGCTCTTGCTAATAAACAGTGGTTCAATGTTTAATGGTGGTATAATTAAACTGGTGACTGTTTGTGAGGCCCTGGTCACCTCTGCATGACTCATTACTTTTACCTCACACTTCAACTATCTACTGACCCCTGCACACCATAACGTCACCAACCATGGCAACAAAAGACAAAAGTTTCCCATGCTAATATCAACCAGACCTGTCCGCAGCCTACTTCACTTAATGGTGCTGTCAAACTCAATATGTGGTACATTAAAAAGCAGAGAAGATCTTACATGACATGATATCAATAAGAATTTGGGCTTGTCATCATCTCATAGTGATTCAGGAGGCCGGTAGTAAAAGTCTGACATGCACTCTCCTTCTCACTCTCTCTCTCATTCCTTCCATTCCTCATTGATCGGCTGCGCTTGGCTGAGACTGCGGGTAAAGTGATCAGGCAGTGACCTCATCTGTGGCTACCTCATCCCTACGACGGGATAATGCAGACTGTTTATGTGAGTGAGAACGGCCCTCTTATGTCGGGATGGGGAGAACCTCAAGTTCAGAGCAATAATTTCCTTCTCAGACATTCAGGTCCCAGGACACTTAAAGGACCAGACTAGTCTAGACCAACGATTTCCACTACAAATGAAATATGTCTAAGAAATGTTTACATATTTTAGAGGGGAAAGTCCCTTTAGACAATGGTTTCTATCAAGACAAGGCAATTTAATGCTTTTTGTCCTACATTTCTGCCACATTACAAATAGCAATAAAATATAGATAAAATGGGATACAGTATAAACTGTATATACATGGAAACTTCAAAGCTAAAAAGTAGCCCTCATCGACAGCAGGATTTGAATGTTTATTGAATGTTTGAAACCAGAGTTATGTTAGCACGAGTCAAAATTTGTCCTCTTTCATGCCTTTACAGCAAATACTTAAAATATATATTTAAATGGTTACAGTAAAGTAAGTAAAAAACACTATATGAAGTCTGATCATGTCTGGCGCAATTGGCTGAGAAAACATCTGCTTTAGACCAATGTGACAACAACACAGATGGTAAAGTAACTGTAGAAATTAATCATAGGAGGTGACGCAGTCACAGGTACACACCACCTGGTGGACACACATGCTCTGACAAGAGCTAGTCTGACAACACTTAATATTGTTACTAGGAAATTAGGCGCTCAGGGGCCTTCCCTTATCTCTGTAACAGCCCCACCCACTTCCTCTCGGATGTATGCCTAATATGGGCATGCTCGGGCAGGTATGATAAACATACAACTACATTTCTAACATGTGTTGAGCTGCATCTTTCAAAGGCTTTTTATTGGCAGATATAGTCTATAAACATGCATTATGGCTTGGTTATGAGGTATTTAGCACCAACAAGTAAAAAAATGTGTGATAACTTAGATAGCCATGGAGGCATATTTTATGTGTTTGTTTTGCATTGTTATAACACTAAAACTTTTGTACTGACGTTATGCTGTTGAAGTATATGTTCAGCAGCCATAAAGGTAATAATAAATTAGAAATATAAAACATACAACTACTCATTTACCAAACATCAACTGAAGTTTTTGCTTGACAGGCACAAGTCACATTGCTAAAAATAAAACAAAAATGTCAGGAAACACACAACAGATTTCATTCTCTCTTTGTCTTCTTTTATCTTGTCCCCTGCCCATGCCACCTACATTCTAGATAATACAAAAACAACAGGGAGAAAGGCGTTTTCCACTCACCATCAAGATCCTATGGATACACATCAAAGTCAGTGCCTCCTACTCAGGGTGTGGTAAAGAAGGGACTACTGCTATGCATTATGCTGTAAGGATGCTAAAAGAAGTAAAACATGCATTGTCAAAACTTATAGTGAGTTAATTCGGTCAATATATTAAGAAAGTTGATATTGATAAATAAACTCAAAAGCCAACTAATGGTAATCAATCACTTTTATTTATAGCACATTTAAATATAGTAACATATAAAAATACAACAAAGCCATGCACTACTGTTCCACTACCATGTACTACTGACATGGTATCTGCTCAAATAGTCCCATAATAATAACACTGGACCAACACATTTGTATAAAATTAAAGAATAACTTCTGGCTGTCAATCAAGATGTGCCATGTTTCTCTATATATTCAAGTAACAGTTTAAACTACGTGGTCCTGAAAGGTTCAAAACATCAGATTCAAATGTATGGATAAACTTAAGCCAAACTGGATGTGCCCCTAACAGCAGTAGTGACCTTATCTAGTAGAAAGAAACTCTTGTGAAGTGTCCTCAGACCCCAGCTTCTCAGTCCTTTCTGATAGGGGCATCAAAAACTTCACTGGTCTTTGGCGCCATCTAGAGGGTTTACTTCAGAGCACATGTATAGTACAACTGACTTAAGGCTATATTATTCAACTTCACTAAATCATCACTTTAGTGGATGTTGATCTTCCATAAGCAAAAGCTAAAAACACTGTCAACAACTGATTAAGTATTTTATTGATAATGCTTATTTTCGTGTTATTTATTTTTGGATTATTATTACTATTATTATAGATGTATACCCTAATGTTGTGAATATGTAAGAAGTTGAGACCTTTTTGTAAATAATCATATTCCATTTATTATAATTTTGTTGCAAACATCAGGTGACACTCATCTGACAGTAATAAAATAAATATGAAAATATATCAGATGAACAAATATTAACAGTGCCTGCTCAGTACCACAAATTATAATAGTTGTGAAAAAGTCTTGTATTATTTGAGGATGCTTCATAGAAAATCGTGTTACATTTTTAACCATCAACACAGGATTTCTCCAAGCAGCATATCAAAAAAGCAGTACCAAATGAAAATCCAAAGATTGGTGTCCTCAATAGGAATAAGAAAACTCAAATAACAGCAAGCTAACATTAGACAGTCCCCCTCTATATCCTGTGTATTTTAAACTCTGGAGGCTCCAGAAGGGCGGCCTCTATTTCAAGAGCGTTTCCCCCCACTAGGGGGAAGGTTAGAAGGGTGTTTGTGATAGTAGTCGGGAGGGGTGGGATTGGGGCTTGCATTCATTCCTGTGGGCACATAGTACATGCCCTCCAGGTAGTTGGGATCCACTGGTGGATGGCCCTGGGTCTCAGATTTGGGTCCCTGACCAGGAGGATTCCTATAGCCCACCCCAGGCCCATGTGGGTGCATGGGGGCTACAGCAGAAGACTCGGGGTAACGGGGTGGCTGAGGCTGGGCTGGAGGGGCTGTGTAGGGCATGTACTGTGGAGCTGCCGCATACATGTTGGTGTTGTGAAGAGGGGGATAATTAGGTGCTGAGGGGGGGTACAAGCCTGAGTGGGACATGGCCTGCTGAGGGATGAGTACTTCCACATACTGACCCGTCTCGGGGTCAAACAGCATCTTCCTCAGGGGCTGAACAGGGACCTCGATGTAAAAATACTTCCCTGTTTCTGGATCCATTAGCACACGTCGAGGCGTTTGTCCATAGTTGCTCTCAGAGTATAAACTGGAGCTGTCACCTCCATACTCTGAGCCATATGAAGGCCCTAGAGTCTGAGGTGCACACAGATAGTGTGGGTCCATGTGAGGGAGACCTGGAGAGTGGCTGTGGCTAGGATCTGGGTACGGAGCCCCTGCCATCACTGCTGCAGGCTGCTGAGGGGAGCGGTGCACTGGAGGTCTACGGGGATCAATATGTTGGGCTGGTGGCAGGGGCCGCTCAGCAGAGTAAGCATGCATAAGTGATGGGTGAGGAGGACATGCAGGAGGCTGGTGCAGAGGCGGGTATAGTCCTTGTGGTGGGCCAGGACCAAGGGGGCTAGCTTTGGGAGAGGTGGGCTGGTATGTCACTGGTTGAGGGTCAGATCTACAGTGGTGAGGCCGGAGGGCAGGCTGGGTGACTGGGTAATGTCCTGGAGAGTGTGTTGGGGCAGGTGGGGTAAGATTGTGCGGGCTGTTGTGAGGATGAGGCAGACTTGGGTGTGAGGGGCAGCCAGTTGTGCAGGAGCATGGAGGATGGCGAGATGAGGGTTGATAACGGCTTGATCTTGGAGGCAAATCTGGCAACCTGAGAGGACTGAAGCTTTCTCTGTCATCATAGCTTGGCGGGTCATCAGAGGCATAAAAGTGCAGGTTGTTTGTTTTTTGGGAGCATTCATTTGAAAGTGATCTGTGATAAGTCTGGCGGATATATCCAGGGCCTGTGGAAATAGGAGCAGGTTGTACATTATCTGAAGTGTCCATTGTTGCTGGTTCATGAGGATATGGCATCCTAAGATGTGGCTGTTGGTTGTTTGAATCCATAGCAGCTGTTTGGCTGTTCTGGATGGCCCCTGTCTGGGCAGGTACTTGGGGTTGGTGTCCTGTTGCATCAGAAAGTGTAGATGAGGAAATGGTAGGACCACTAACTGTTCCAGGAGCTGGAGGTAAAGTGGGATGCCTTTGTATGTATCTGGAGTTCTGTGAGTGAGGCCCTGGTCGCTGCTGTCTGTCTGCCTCTGTGTCCTTCTCTGATGATGGGGGCTGGGCTGAGACATTAGAGGAAGCCGTTGGTTTGTTTGGTGGAGGTTTAAGGCTTGACACTGAAGACACAGCGACCTTTCTTGTATAATTTGAAGTGGAGTCATTGGGAATCTTCCTATAAATTGTTGGTGAAGACACAACAATTGTTTGTGATCTATCTTCTGTGTGAGGTTTTGAAGATACAGGGGGCAGTCTCTGTGTCTCATTTGGCATTGCTCCTAAATCTAGAGGTTTAAACTTGCAGCTTGGTTTGGGTGGAACAATTGGCTTTTGAGAATTTTTAGCTACTGATTTAACTTCGATGGCTTGATGTCTACTATTTCCTGAGATACTTGTAGTTGTATCTTGTTTATTTGTTTCTTTGGACATTGACTTAACTTCTATCGGCTGAGGTTTGAATCTCCGTACTGCAGGAGATCTTGGAGGAAATGTTGGATCTGATCTTTTTAAAGTCTCAAAGTCTCCTTGTGCTCCTTGTTTGTTTGCAGGTGGTGGCTCTGTAGCAGATTTTGGTGGCAAATGGTGTACTTTATTAGTTGAATCCAGTTTAGCAGAGGTACTCTCTGCTTCTACTGTTTTAGTTTCAGTGTTGCTTGGCATTGCTGTAGATCCAGATGTAGCAGATGAAGAGGAGAATGTTCTTTCTCTGTGAGTCTCTCCTGAAGTCTGAAGAGGAATCTCTAAGCAGTTCACATGTTTAGATGGGGCACTTTTACTGCCACCTGCATTTTGACCCTCTCCCACAACTGCTCCAATATCAGCCTGATAACCTTTCTCTTTCAGTAACATTGAAACTGAGTGTCCACTGCCACCAGGAGTACTCGAAAGCCCAGGTGATGAAGCTGGGACAGTTCTTGGAAACTCCTCATGAGTTGGAGAAGCAGCCCGCTTAGTTCTGCTGTTGTCCCGTATTAATACAATAGCAGTTGACACTTCTCTTTCTTTACTTGGCATTTTGGGGATACCGCCCAGCATTGGCCTGTCTGCATACTGGTGTGTCAATATGTGTTGTTTTTCAACAACTGTACTTACTTTATCCTTACTCTGAACATCAAAACTTGTACCATCTTCATTTTTTGTCTCATTTACATTGTGTAATGGTGTCTCAGTAATAGGCTGTGTATCAGTTACCGTCTTCATGTCTGTTGGAGTTTTACTTTTATCTTCTTTCCAGCAAACAGCCTTGTATTCTATTTGCATTGGTTGTGAATGAGGTGTCTGTTCTTTGTGCTGAATATTCGTTTCATCTTTTGTTTTAATGCTATTACTTTCTTTAGTTTCCTCATTTAACTCTGTTGTTTCTTTCTGCCACACCTCTTGCGACCCCATACTCTCCTGTTGGGTGACCTCCCCACTGTTTTCCTTTGAGGTTTGTTCCTTGGTAAAATCTGTGTCATCTGAAGCAGTCGCACTGGTTGCTTTGAAAGAGAGATTGTACGTATTTTTCACAAGTCGCCTCACATCTCGAACTCTGTGTATAGGCCCTTTCACTTTGTCATCCATTTGGTCGTCTTCTATTTTATCATTAACACAGGTTTCCACTTTCTCATCTGAAATGAAAGATTTGTTTTCATTTTCAGGTGTAATGGAGACATTGAGGGAGGCTTTCTTCTTTTCCAATGATGATATGGAAAAGTTATTTGGGCTTTTTGGCTTGTATGAGGGTTGGACACCCTGCTGCGCTTGTCTATGAGACTGTGTATTTTCACATTCCTGCTCTCTATTTGTCATCGTGGCATGTCCAGTAGACGAGGCACAGGTTTCAGTGGTAGGACCTGAGTTCCCAGCAGTGCTACTTGTTGAGTCATCGTGCTCTGTTTCCTTCCACATGTGAATGTTATCAGAAACTGCTTCACAGGGTGTCTCTTTGAGTTCTGATTGTAGTATTGCTGATCTGGTCTCAGCTTCAGCCTCTTCACTGTCAGCTATTGAAAATGTTACACTTCTGTTACTATTAGTTGAACTTGGTCTATGACTTGATTTTCCTTTTAAGTTTTTCTGTCTCCCAACCTCATCTTTAGTATTGATGTCACTTCTCCCTCCAGAGGTGTCAGATAACATGCTAGAGTTTGACTGAAGACTCGAACTCAACAGATGCATGTCAGGTTTGGGAGACTTTGAGGACTCAGCTTTTGTAGTTGAGACACTTTCATCCAACTCACAAGGCTCTTCTTCTCCAGTTAGCTCATCACTCTGCATCTTTTTAGTCAATACACTCTTAATGAGACAAGTGGCAATTTTAGTCTTAGAACATGACTCATCAAATGAAGAAGATTTTTGAAGTTTAGATTTTGTGACATTTTGGTGTTTGTCAGGAGGTGAACTCTCTTCATAAGGCTCTGGATCCAGTGAGGATGCTGGTGTAGAGTGCTGTCTTAATAAAGTCTCTCTCTGATGAGTGTCTTGAGAAAAATTATCCATCAGTGGGATGCCAGGACTGCTGGTCTCACTGCTTTCATCTTTTGATTCAGTGGTGTCTCTCCTTTTTAGCTGAATCTGTCTTTTAGGTACTCCTCTTCTGACCTTCCTAGAGTCCTCTTTTTCCACAGCCACATCAACACACTCAAAGCTTCCCAACTCATAGCACCTGGAAGGATCCAGCCCATCTGAGGAGTAGGCAGATGGTTGTTGTAGCGCAAATTCATCATTGTCCAACATTTGGGCTGAGCCTCTAAAGTCAGCATAAGACAACCAAGGTGTACTGACCCCAGCTGGACTTTCCTGGGTAGATGGTTGAGAAACATTGGTAGAAGAGCGATGGCTTGAGTTGTACATGTCCAGATAGTCTACATCAGGGCTTGAGAGGCTGCTGAATGCCACGTCTGTAAACCACTTAACTTCATGGTCTGCCTCATCGAGCTCACTTCCCATGCTGGAGCTCGAACTCCTCCCAGGCTTATTTGTGGCAACACGTCCAGAAGAAGTAGTCTTGTGCTGAGTTACAGGGGGCTGAAGCCGTCTTCCAAGTCTTCCACTCCTAGTGTCAGGTTGAGAAGAAAGCCTGTGCACGGTCTGTTGTTGCTTTGGCTGTCTGGTGAGCTGGCTCTCTGAGCAGGAATGCACTGTTGGCAGACCTGGACGAGTATCTCTGCCTGTGAGAGCAGTGCTGCGACACACAGGGCCTTTTCTATTCTTGGCATTGAATGACAGCTCAACCTGTTCCTCTCTGTAACTGCCATCTCCATGCCACCCCTCCCCCTTTTCCCCCTTTTCTGGGATTTGCTCCTCCCTCTTTCTCTCTCTATACATCTCACAATCCTGCTGCTCCTGATCTGTTGCACTCTCCTGCAGCTGCAGTCCCCTTTCCATCTCTTGTGGCCTCCTCTTCCTAAACCAGTCTTCTTGGCTATTATTAACAAGGTCATGATGGGGGATTTCCGTATTTGTCACCACTTTCTTTAAATTAGCACTGGGTAGCGATGTTTTAACTTGAGGAGGGCTGCGGCCTCTGGTTTGCCACTGTCTGTAGGGCTTTTCAGGGGCAATGATGTGGACAGGTGTAAATCTGGTGAGTGGTGGAGAAGGTGTTCTCCTCTTCTTTACATGGCTGGCCATGTTCTCTCTTAAATTACTTTTGTTTTCTGCTCCAACTGTTCCTGATAGCTGCCTTCTAAAAGGCTTTGGAGTAAGATTTATATTGAATGTGTTGTTACTTGGAGGTGACTGAGAGTAATTAATAAACTGAGACTGTGGTTTTTCAATTTTTTAACTGGCAAAGCTGTAATTTCCTTGGGTACAGGTAAGATGTTTTTTTTGTTGACAGGTAACACAGGATCAGTTATAGAATAGTTCACAACAGTAGGGGATTTTTTACAATCACCTTTCCCCTCACTATAATAAAGATCTATGTCTCTTTTTTCTGCATATATATTTGAACCTAACTCAGCTGCAGACTGCACTTCACTTGTTGTCTCTGTGGCTTCTGATTCTGATAAACACACTGGTAGAGGAGAAAAACTTGGAGTCACAGGCAAAACACTTCTGATTTTTGTTGCAATTGCATCAGAGTCTTCACAATGCAGTTTAAATGGGGATGTTGGCTGTGTAGACACTTCAGTTTCTGCTACATCAGTTGAAGAATGGAAGTTTTGTTGTTCCACAGATGTGTCATTAAAAGAGTGAAACTTATTATGTTCAGATAGTGTTTCAGATAATAGCCGCTCAACAACTTCAGAATCTGGTGATGAATTACAAATGTGGTGATGTGAGAGACTTTGACCAAGTGGAGACAAAGGGCTTTGACTTCTTATTTCTGGGGAAGGTGTTTTATGTCTGTCTTCAGACTGTTGTTGTGACTGCAGTTCAAACACAAGTGAACTGTGAGAAGAGTACCTGCTTGGACTACAGTCTCCTGGTATGGGTGATACAGGAAGACAAGGTTCTTCTGAAAAAGCAGGAGAGGGTTGGTCTGCAGGTTGAACAACGGAATAAGATATGTTTGAGATGTGAGGGGATGCAGGAAGCTCAACTACAGGTGAGTCTGAGCAAGGCTCAAAAACAGGGCTCTTAAGTTCATCTTCCAATTCAGGTGAAGAAGCTGTAATCCTGATTTCAGGAGATGTGGCTTTATCTATACAAACGACAGGTGAACACGCGGGAGATGGGGACAAATGGGTCACTATGGGTGAATACAGTGAGGTTCTACTTGCCGGTGGAGTGTACTTTTCTTGACGGGAAAGTGCAGCAGTGGGAGATCTAGTTGCAGTACTGTGGGGTGAGCTGGGGCTGAGTCGGCTTGGTGAAGGCGTTGGACTGTTTAGCCTTATTATTTCAGATGAAATATTCCCTGGCTCAGGTGATGGTGCGGGTGAGTTTACAGGTGAGGGAGATGTATATTGTAGGTCAGGTGTGGACACTGTATCATTTGTTTTCAGTGGCAATGTGTCTAGCTCAACAGAGACCGTTATGTCTTCTTTGACATTTATAGGACTTGAAATAGGTTCAGGGGTCTGAGGATGGTCATTTAATTCTGGTGTGGAGCCTCTGCTTAATAGATCATACACTGAGATTCTACCTCTTTGCTCAGGCTGCGGAGATAACAGAATGTCAGTTGATGATATAATAACTTTAGGCTGAAAGTTTAATGGTGCAATAACCTTATTTGGTGGCTGCTCAGTAAAGTGGGATGTCTTGTGGTTACAGATGCTCTCTGATTCTGAAGATATTTCCCAAAAATCAGGTTGTGTGGTAACAGATGCAGAGGAGCTGACACAGTTTTCCAACTCAGGGGTGGGAGTGTGCTGTGACAAACTGCTATGTCTGTCCTTAGAAGCAGGAGTAGTTCTCCTGCTTTCTGTTTCAGAGAAACCTTTTCTTGAGCTTGAGGGTGAAGGTGTGTACCTAACATCAACTAAAGATGAAGATAAAGAGTTACAACTTCCCTCTAGGCTGTGAGTTTGAGGGGTTTTGTTCTCTGGTAATATCCCATCACAAACTGTTTTGAGGTCTGGACTTTCTGCCTGTTCCTGAGGTACAGGGGAAATACTGCAATGTGTCGTGTTGGTTGTTCCAGGAAATTCAGGAGGTGTCTGTTCTTCTTTTAAACTTTGTAAATGAGGACAGTTCTGCTTCTCATTTGGGTCCTCAAGCCCCTCCTCTTCTTCACTGGAGCTATGAGCTGTATGATAAGAGGAGGAGTCGTTATTGTCATCCAGTGTGGGTGAGGCCACCGTAGGTTCCCCCACCTCTGTCTGCTGTGGGCTAAAAGCTGCTGAAGCGGGACTGCTCGAAAGTGAAGCTGCTTCACAGTCGTCTCCAAAAATGTCACACAGGCAGGTGGTCTCAGAAATGGCACTGCGCTGGCTGGGCGTATTAATAATGTCAAAGATCTCTACGTGGTTAGGAGTACCGTCACGGTGACAGAGAGAAAAGGTGCGCGGTGCACTGCGCAAAAAGGAGTAACTGTCCCCTTGGAGAGTCCAGCTGTCCATCTCTAAACCACAAGCTCCAATTTCTGTGGCCAGTGCAGTCGCCTCTTCTGGGCTGCTCTGGGCTCAGGTCCTGGTCTGCAAAAGAGATAAAGTTACCTGGAGAAAGTGTAGCTAATTATTTCATAACTGTGAATTTATGTGAAATTATCCTGCATGGACATGTGTGAAAACAATATAATTATATAAATACCTAACTATTAACTTTAATACTTAACCTTATTGTACTCAATGAACCTATCCCAGCTGTTATACATATATTAAACTCATCTCTTTTGTCTAAGTTACATTGCATCCATTGTAGAGCAAGCAGTAAAAAATTATTATCATGACAGATTAAAATATGCACATTATTCTGTGCATTCACAGTCAGTCCATAATTCTGAGTGTATATATCTTCATCTTTTACAAAGAACAAAAGTGATTTGCTGTACCTTTGGCCAAGGATGGCTATCCACTATCCATAGGGACTTAAGTTTCTCTGCTCCACTTCCAGCAGGTTGTCTTAATCCACAGCAAGCTCAAAGACAGAAAACCTCTGAAAAACAGGATCCACTCAGCTGCCCAAAACTCATAGACCTGCCACTTTGACTAGACTGTGTCAGTATGAAAAAGGCACTGCCATGTTGCAGACTTCATCTTCTTCTGACACTGCTTCTCTGACTTCCCATGATCCCTTTCCCCCTCCCATCCAGCCACAGGACAGGCAGCCGTTTAACCTAGATCTTTCTCCTCCAGCATGAGTTCTGGTTGGGCTTTCCTGTGAGTGCAGGGCTGGGGTACAGTGGGACTGGCGGGGTGGGTTTATAGTTAGCAGCAGGTGCTGATTCTGCTCGGACAAATAAGAGCGCCTGGAATCTGACACTTAGCGCCAGCTCAGTCACAGGGCGCCTCTATATATAGGGCCACATTATCAGGATAGATAGCCAAATTTTCAGACATATTTCAAACTGAAGAAAAACTGCATTAATTGTTGAGAGACCAATACACCAATAGTACTGGTCTGAGCATTATTTGCTAAAGTAAACCATTGGAATATTATTCTTGCAGTCTATTTGGGGGGTGAACAATGGGTTAAAGGTCAGTACAGTCTCTGGGTAATGTGTAAGCAAGCTCACAAGCTAAAGCAGAAACCATGTTAGCAGACTGGACTTGCATAAATCTGTTAAGTGGAATAGCATATTGAAAACTGACAATACTGAAACAACATTTTTGATTGTATGCCCACCTCTCTGGCATATTAATTAAATTAAATTATGCACGGTGACATGATGACAATGTCTGATAAAAGTGAGGTTTGATTCCATTTATTCTGTACATGATTCTCAGTTTTTGTGTTCATGAGCTTAAACAGCTTGAACAATGTGAACATTGCTGCTATATTGATATTGATTTGCCATGAGTATGTTTTGGTATAGCCTATTTTAGTAAATTATTTTGTGACAATGCAACACATTTGATATATTTAGTTTTTATGTGTTTGTCCGTCTACAGTCTGTGGTTGAGAGTCCAGTTAACTCCCATTATTTGATTCACAGGATAAAAGAAAAAAAAGTACATAGTAATATACCTATATTAGTAGTAGGCCTACTTAAATCAGACCACCAGACCATTTGAATGAAGTCTATTATGTTGTTGCACAGGCGTCTATGCCGCAGATAAAACAGAACTCTTGTGGTTAATGCACTCAAAGGGAAAGAATGATCAGCCCTTATGGCTAGCTTAGATTTGCATGACTGCATAACAGATAGATTAGTCATACTGTCCCATTCATACAAAGACCTCAGCCACCCTTTGACCAATCTGCTCTTCACTCAAAAGAATGCAAGTCTATTTATGGCCTAATCTAGCAGATTTTAAATGTGACTTTCAGACGCAACTATTTTTTTCAACACTGAGTTGCAGCACAGCCATCTAGTAATACGTTTATTGGTTACTGTTAACTGTAATTTTAGCCATTTTTCATATTTTTAAGTAGAGTTGTAGGGGAGGTGTAGCGAGCCAAGCCAAGACACTAATAATTCTCTATAAATCCTAATTTGTCTCATAAACAATTGGTATTAATGGCAACTATTTCAAAACTCACCAACTAACTAAACTGCAAAAATGATGGTCTCACCTGTGTTTTAATTTGAAAATTAGCCCAGACACAGTGCGCGACACAGGAAGATCCGCAGTCTTCTAGCTAGTGAAGTGTTGTCAAACAAGTAGCTAACGCTAATGTCGGCTAACTAGCCAGTACGGGTTAATTATCAAAAAGGGTGAGTCGAAACGTAAATTTCTTTCTTAAAGCAATGTACCATATCAAAATGTAACTTCAGTACTACGAAGACACGACTATTGTCTGTCTTTAGATACATAACTTCAACTTGAAGCTTGCGCGTTGTTAGCTGTTAGCAATGGCTAGCTTTTCCAGCTAGGAAATTAGAGACAGCAGGGCCGTTTGTTTATGTTAGCCGACTGGTGATTCTTCTGTCTTCGTTAATCCCAATTTATTATCCGATTGCGTTCCCTTTTTTAATCTGAGTGACAATAGATATTAATGTGTGAAGTTAGAACGGTAACGACGACATTTCAAAGTTTGCGGTGAAGATGACGATGTGTGTTCGCTGTCTTTCTGTCTACGCTTGGTTTGGTAGACATTTTCTATAGCTTACTGCTAAGGAGCTATCTAATTTAGCCTTTTGGGTATGAGTCACCCAAAAGTACAGTTGTTTTGAAGAGAGCCTACTAATGTTCAAATTTATTTTGTCAACAATTTTCTCATACAAGACAATTTCTCATACAAGATTAGTATTTTACCATTAATAACACACACAAGTAACAAATCACCGAGAATAATGTGAAGCTAGCTGTTACTTAAATGTCAAATTGTATGTAATAATTTTCGTTGCGTGACCGCACAATGCCTAAACCAGATTTTCAGAAACAATAATAAAACAAATCACCAGCTAGTCTCGTTCATTATAAATGCCCTCCAGGTATTCATATTTACAAAGGAACTTTACTATTGCAAAAGCTGTTTTACCAGAACAGCGTGAATTAAAGCACATTGAAAATGATCTGGGATTTCTTGTTTTACTGTCCCTTGTATTATGACCTGTGTATTGTTTAATGTGTCTTATTGTCTGTTTACTATGTTGGATGACTAGAGACTGTCGTATTTGTTCAAATGTAATCTTTTTGATGACTCTATTGATATTGAAAGAATGGGCCCCTTGTAAAAGGACATTTTATGTTTGATGCAGAACTATAAACTCTGTCTACTTATTGTCACACTATAAGTTCATGTGGGCTGGGCATGGTGCATGACACTGTATAAGTTAAATAAACTAAACTTAACCAAAGTCGGAGTCGAAATTTAAAAAGTTAAATAAAACTGAAAATGATTTCCTGTGTAATTAATGTATGCTTTTCTTGTCAGTTGTTGTGTCTGAGTGAGTAGGCAAAAACATGGAGCAGTGTGCATGTGTGGAACGGGAACTGGAAAAAGTTCTCCATCGCTTTGTCATGTACGGCCATCAGTCTGAAGAGAGACTAGATGAACTCCTGCGCAGTGTTTGTGAGATACGTGCACAACTAGTAGCATTTGGTAAGAAGTTTGATTACCTAATTGTTTAGATGATGTTCACTGCATTTGAATTTATCTCTATGTTTTGTTTTGTGCTTAAATAGGTGTACAAGATGCAGATTTGTCTGTACTTTCTCAGACAATGACACAGTGCTGTAAGAACATTAAAGAAACAGTGCAAATGTTAGCTTCACGACACAAGGACATTCATGGCAGTGTGTCAAAAGTTGGCAAAGCCATTGACAGGGTAAATATGAAATTATGCAGTTATATTTACATTTATTTCTGTGCCTTCTGAAAAGTGTCTCCCTCTCCAGAATTTTGATGCAGAGATTAGTGCTGTGGTTGCAGAAACAGTATGGGATACCCCTGACAGGCAGAAATATCTTAGTGAAACAATAGTAGAGCATCTGTACAGACAAGGCATGCTCAGTGTAGCAGAAGATTTGTGTCAGGTAAATAATGCAAATTGTCAAAACACATCACACTGAAAAGAGATACTAAGAAGTTGTGCATTTTCTATTTTCAGGAGTCTGGAGTAGTCATTGATATGAGTATGAAGCAGCCTTTTCTTGAATTAAACAGGATCCTTGAAGCTCTACGAATGCAGGACCTCAGGCCAGCATTAGAGTATGTTTTTCTACTTACTGGTTTAAATAATTTAACTAGATATAGTATTGATGTCTGTCTGTTTTTTTTTGTTTTGTTTTTTTAGATGGGCAGTGACAAATCGTCAGCGACTTCTTGACCTGAACAGTAGTCTAGAATTCAAGTTACACCGATTGTACTTCATCAGCCTGCTCAGTGGAGGCATCAGCAATCAGGTGGAAGCTTTGCAATATGCAAGGCATTTTCAACCATTTGCTTCACAGCACCAGAGAGGTAAAGCTGAATCTCACTATTCTTCAGGAGATGAAGTTATGTTCTCATGGACTGTAGAATATACTATTGTTTTATCTTCTCATAGATATCCAGATTCTCATGGGGAGCCTGGTGTACCTGCGTCATGGCATTGAGAATTCTCCATATCGCAGTTTGCTTGAGCCAAATCAGTGGGCTGAGATCTGCAACATCTTCACCAGGGATGCCTGTGCCTTACTGGGTCTTTCTGTAGAATCTCCACTAAGTGTCAGGTTAGGTTCTTGAAGATGGATGACAAACAAATGTTAAAACTTTTAAAGTAATGTTAGTTTTTTTTCTCACGGTCTAGTTTTGCATCAGGCTGTATGGCATTGCCTGTGCTGATGAACATCAAACAGGTTATAGAACAAAGACAATGTAGTGGAGTTTGGACACACAAAGATGAGTTGCCCGTAAGTAATTTTCACAGTACCTGGTTATTCTTTACTCACATTGATTCACTAACTTTTTCTGTTGTCTAGATTGAAATTGATCTGGGAAAAAAGTGCTGGTACCACTCAGTGTTTGCTTGCCCAATTCTTCGTCAACAAACTTCAGAAAGCAACCCTCCAATGAAGCTCATTTGTGGCCATGTCATCTCCAGAGATGCTCTCAACAAACTCACCAACGCTGGAAAGTGAGTATCAGTTTTTGTGTGTTCATATTATATTAACTGTATAACTGTACTATGTATTGAATTGAGTTGTTCAATTTAAAGGTTGAAATGCCCATATTGCCCCATGGAGCAGAACCCGTCACATGCCAAGCAGATCTACTTTTGATACATTCAGTCTCTTCATGGATTTGGATGAAGTTCCCTGGAGCGTGAGGCATTACAGGAGCATTTTTGTCTTGCCCCTTTCCACAGATGGTCTATGGCCTTAATGTGAGCAAGGTTTTGTCCCTTTGCTCTTCTGGATGGCTGCGGTCATCTTGAAACGCCCATCTCCAACTAATATAGAGAGCCCAGCTGTGAAGGCACGACTAGAGCTTATATAGTGCCTCTATGGAAAGAACGATACATTTGGACATGCCTGTAGTTTTTTTGTTTTTGAAGTATATCACACATAAAGGTGTTTCTGGGCTTTTTACTGTTTGAATACGGTATGGAGGACTGCTTTAAGTTTTTTTTCACCCATCGTCTGAGGCAGTTTGATGAAAATGGATAGATGTACAGATTGTGCAAGGAGACTTAAGGCGAGGATCAGTCTTTTTCAATGATTGCACAAAAATCCTCTGAATGTTTGTGACAAACCCTGTTCTTAAATGCTGAGGGAATTTCTGGAGGACTGTCTTGAACTGATCCGTCACTCATTTCTCCTCCATAACTTTATAAAGCCGATGACGATCTTGTCACTGTATCCACACATTTTATCCACCACATTGACCTCTGCTACTGTCTGCAACAGCAAGATAGTTCACATTATATAAACCATTGACCTGTTTGATGTATGTATTTAACAAACAAAAAGGAAGCAAATATATACAATGTAATGTGCTTTGTTTTTATTTTTTTCACAACCTCAATTAACCACTATAAGCATTACTGATATTGCTACAGCATGGGTTTCAGAACTAACATCCCTGCCCTCTTAGCCCTGGACTGTGTGTCTATTGTGCTCTGTGCAAACTGAAGGTGTGAAGTTGTGTGATGGTAGCAGTAAGTCCCGACTCGCAGTAACTTTAGGCTTGTGGTTCGGCCTTCCTTGTGGGTGGTCCTTGTTGCTGTTGTTTAGTACACAGTTAAAACCAAGGGCCTCCGATACACAGATTTGGCTGAACATTTATTCCATGCATATCCTCAGGGTTTATTGTCACTTCATCCCACAGTTCACAAGTAGTAATTAAGATGTACATCTAGGTATATAGCATATATTGGAATATATAATACATTTTCCACTGAGGAGACTGTTGAAAATGTGTAAATATACAAATAGTTATCTTACAGAATACACAAGGCATCTGGATGCTCATTCATTTCCAAAACAAAACAAGTTTCTGTTTTCCTCTGAAATATTGTGATGTCACCTCAATTTGTTGAGGCTTATTTATCACTTACTGCACCAGCATAGATCGCAGTTCTTGAAATACTACAATAACACACAGTCATGAGACAAAATTAAAGATGAGCATCCTTTGAATGGGTTACAGCATGTTATGTTTGGACTTTCTTTGTTTCCTGGCTTGCTCTGGTTGACAATCACTGATGGCTTTTCAGAGGGTCCCTCATTTAGATTGCTAATGCCCTGTGATTGACGTTTCTGCTTTATGTGTGTAATGACTCCTTTACTGTAAATCTCTATGCTCTACCATGTTTCATAAACTTGCAGCTGAAAATAAAGTAAATTTATACTACATCAAATCTGTACTGGCTTTTAGTTTTAGGACCACTTGGTGGCACACTAGAGTTTCAAAATGCCATGTTTACGAGTGAGACTCAAATCATGTACTACTACCATCCTCCTACATGTGTCAAACCACTTCAGAATGTCTTTGAACCTTTTCTGAGCTGATGGTTTACATAATATTTTTAATGCCAGCAGCAGAGCTTTATGATTCACTTTACACTCACAGCTCCTATTGGTTCTGTGTTAACCCTTTTCTGCCTGTGCTTGTTCATTCTGTGGATACCATATAAATGTTGTTTTAGTTTTTATATAGCCAGGGGATGATGCTGTGGACCCATGGCTAAACCTCTAAAAGCCACATTAGTCCCAACAGCTCAGTCTTTCAGTGGTCCGTGCCATCAAGCTCCTGTCATCTGTTTCATTGGCACGACTAGTGGAGATTTTAAGCCCTTTTTGTGTAGACTGGAGCCAGCAGCTGAACAACAACAGAAACTTGTATTGTATGTAGTCATGTTAAGTAAATAATAATGTTAACTTTATTACAGAAATCCAAAATAAACACATGTATTTGTTCTGTTCAAGGTTTAATAACAACATAATAGTCTTCATATTGTATTTACAGGATAGAGGCATGTCATGGCAACCATTTAGCATATTCTGCAGTTGGTCAACAGTGTGCTTAGGTAACAAATGCATTATATTTACAACATGTGTTTTCAAAGGTCAAATGTCACAGCAAAAAAGGCTTCCATTTACAACATTAGTTTCAGTCAGTTACAGTAGTCTTTATGGAGTAGCATTAGTACATTGGCACAAAATAAACCTGAGATTGGTTTCACTTCAAAGTCTATTAAGTATATCAGAATAAGTATGTTGATTCCTTTGGCTTAAGCATTTTAGTCTACAGCAGTTCTTTTGGGAGTTGTTGTGGTGTACTTTCTGATGGGGTGGAGCAGGGGAAGGATGGTTACAAAAAAACAAATAAAATGGATAAACCTGAAGTACTGCTTAACATTTCAGTGATGAAAAAGTCAGTTTTAGTGACCTCTAGTGATGAGTTGTCGATTACATTTTCTCGGGCTGTGGTTTAAACACATTTTTGTTCATGGTTCTGTTCATATATGCATCTGTAAATAACTTCATAGTTTAATCAGGTCAGTCAAATTTAATTTAAAAGATTTCTATTAATCTCTGTAAAAATGAAGTGTCCTGTTTCAGATTGTTGTCTTGATATGGTCATATGATTTGTTGTATTTACACTAAATAAACAACATTGCTAGCAGCTTGTACCTCACATGAGAACCCTACCAGAGGGTATTTACATTGCAAATATGTAAATCACATTCAAATTTCAGATGACTCAATTCGGTCTATCCATGGTAACCCAGAGCTGGTTCTGTCAGTCTGATTGGTTGTTGCCGTCTCACTCCTCTGCTGGGGTACATCTAATGTCCGACTTTGCCCCGCCCCTTCACTGCTGGTTCTGACCTGGACACCACCAGCCCTCATCTGCTGCAACTGCCTCTCCAGGTCCTCATTCCTGTGATACATGTCTAAGTAGCTGGTTTGCAGCTCTTTTTGATAGCGGATGACCTTGTCCTTTTCTGCCTGCCACGTCTGTCTCTCCTCTTCAAAAGCCAAGGCCTGGGCTTCGCTTTGGCGTCTCTCCAGGAGCAGCTCTGCACGCAGACGCTCCTCTGTGGGCCCCCCAGACCCTCCTGAAACCAAGATGATGTACACATGGTTTAAACTACACTCCAGTCAGTCCTTAGGGGAAATTTTATGAAAGACACAGGCTAACTTTTCACTCTGCTTTTTACTTACATTCATTTAGTAACTTCCCAATTTCTATACATAAAATACAGGTATAATATTACCTGAACAGTCAAGAGCATTGTTTTCCTGTCTTCCAGTTTGAGAAAAGCATCTTCTTCTGGGTGTACCATCTGCCACCATTTTCAGAGTTTGAATCTGGCTCTCCCGGGTACTCAGCACAGTACGGGCCTCTCTCAGTTCAGTCTTCAGGTGGAAAATTTCACTGAGCTTTTGGGTGACCTCAGCCTGGGAGTCCCTCAGCTGCTGCTTCAACAAAGAAATTTCTCCTGACTTCTGGCAGACCTAAAATAGACATAAACAACATAACAATACTCACATATTATGGGCTTAAAAACGGTAAAGGATTTCTACCTGTGACATCACAATTCAAAATTGAAACCATGATTTCTGAGACACTAAGACAAGACAGTTTTGTAAACAAACTCAAAGCAAGAATAAAGTACAATATTACTCTGGGTATGATGAGGTAACAACATTATAATATGAATTAAAGCTCAGTCAATTCAACACATGTATCCTTTAACAGAAATGTATATCTTTCTACAGCTCACCTCCCACTGTGTCTCTTCCAAAGTAGGACTGGTTGTTTTGGCTCTGACCCCTGAGTCTTGGCTCCTATCTTTTCTCAGGCTGTCCAGTTCCTCTTGTAGCTTGGTCTTTTCCTGTTGAGTTTTGTACAGCTGTAACTGCAGACTGCGCTGGGACCGCTGAGCTTGATGAGAAACTTGCCGTAACTTTGTTGCATAGAGACGCTTCAGCTCCCCGACCTCTTTCTCCCACAAACGTTGTTTCCCCTCAAATACCTGCATGCAGTGACTGAACAGTTAGTCCTCAAAAGAGCAGCTAATGAAACAAAACATGATTAGTTAAATTATGTATGCTTAAATTTACCTGGGCTATGGCACCCTCACTCTCATCTAGATTTCTTTTCATTTGTTTTATTTCCTGTTCCTTCTCCACTAGGCGCTCTTCCAAATCTCGCACCTGTTGTAAAAAAAAATATGCATACCTTAAAGGCGCACTATGTAACCTTTCTGATGGTTAGAGATTATATTAATTTGCCAGGAATATTCTACAGTAGGGAAACACATCTATTTTTATGTGAAGAGGTAACCCAGCTCATAGTAAGAATTCATGTTGTTCAAAGTATTTTTGAGTAATAAAAGTGTAATGCAAAAGCAATATCATCTATGGAAAAAAGCCCCCCATAGAGTGCACCTTTAAAATCATCAATATCAAATCTGGTAAAAAGTTAATAAACAAGGACTTACTACATCCTCCATAGACATAGACAGGCTCCACTCATATGGTGGTGGGGCCTCTCCATGGGGGGTCAAGCGGCTGAGCGTGGCCATACTTCGACAGGCCACCTCCCCTATGGGCACGCCACCAGCCCCTATGGTCTTTGGCACCTGACTGGCCTGATCCAAAGACCCAATGGTGTTGATGTGACCCATAGATGCACTGAGTATTGAAAAAGGCTGTTAGCCCAGCCGCAAACCACATAGCCCAATCAGTAAGAGCGATGTTGCCACTGACCTGATGTTAGACAGATGTGGTCTGAAAGGAGGTCGGTAAGGGGGCAAACTGTTCATGGAGTTATGGCCCGAGTCAGACAAGTTATCTTCCTCATGACTGGTCCCACGTACAGAGGAGAGAGCCTGCACATAATTATGTTTCAGTCACAACCTACTAATTAGTAAACAAATCTAGATGCCAAAAGTTTATACCTTTACATGTATTCATTAAGAATAATTTAGAGTTCCCTAATTCAAGAATATTTTTACTATGGCCAACTTGGGAAAATCTCAAGCCTCTCTACTGAGTTTATTCAGAGTTTTTACAATAGCTTTTTACACCATATTGTGGAATATTAGCCAACATTTCAATGGAAACAATCATCATTCCAGGTCAAGTAAGAGTCAGATTGGAGGAGTTGCAAGCCCCCTGACAGTAAGGACACATGCTATTCCACAATTTTAGTGCAATAAACCTTATATTCCATGGCTAAAACCTTACGTGGTGGGGTTTCAATTGTAGGTAAGAATTAGAATATCTTAATATTAAAAGTACTTAAAAAGAACTTTCTATTTTGGTATTTATTGATGAGGAATACCCTATTAGCATTTGTTGTGGGACATCCATATCGAGATGGCGATGAAGAGGAGGAGGATGTAGACACCGCTTTTGGGATGTGTGCAAAGGCTCGGTGAAGACCATTTGAAATGCCATGATCCTCTTCCTCCAATTTAGACGATGGATACAGATTTTGCATTGAGCTGAAGTTTTTCGGCGTAACAGGCTTGAAGGCTGAAGTCCTAAAACATGACTGATTAATCATAAAAAAGGTAAAGTTAAAGCATTTAAAGACATTAATCCCTTTCTTGTCTACTCTGTGGTATGTTTTGTGCAGTTGTCAATACAGGTCAGAATAAGAAAATTATCAAATCCTCCCCAGTCTCGCTGGTGTGAAGATTAATATTCCTGTGGGCTGTTGCAACCCATTAAAAGACTGTATTTCACTTTGACTCTGATACTAATTGTTTTCACACCAACAGGACATCATTTGTAAAGTGGTATAAACATAATTTCATACAGTGAAATGTATGACTAACTGAAACCATTTTGGACTTTTCTTTATCTCGGTTTGGTCACATTTTAGCACAACAAAACAAAGTGGAATAATTATTTGAAGATAACTATAACTACTAATTCAGTGTAAGAACATAAGTTATTTTTAATATCGGTTTCCTAGTGTGTAGAATGAAATTAGAACAGGATGTGTAAATCAAAGATACCTTTTCATGCTTGCCTGCACTTGGTAATGAGTTCTTTGTCAGGTCCACTTCAGTCCCATCTTTGTTATAGACTTTGCTATATGAATCCTCATCACAGCCATTGAGAGACGTGAGGCTGGAGATGAGACCCCTTTTGTTGTCACCGCTCTGAGTTGCTTTGGGGTCTTTTCTGCATAAAGAGAGGTTTTCGATTAGTTATGCTGAAGCATGAATTCAGCCAGGAAGTCAAAAGGATTACAGTTAGATTTCTTTTTTTTCAGCTCTAATAAACTCTCCCTTCATCAGATTTTTTCAGATGTCTCTGCTTGCTGGGATCTAAATGTCTAGTCTAAACATTCAATTAACTCTACACTGTATAAAATGTTTTAGTCACATACCTAGTGATATTGAGGTAGTTGAGGAGTTCCCTTTGCCCCATGCCCTTCTTCAGCAGCCCATTGGAAGGTTTGGGTCTCACCTGAGGCACTGCTCGACTGGATTTAGCTGGAGACATATCCGGCCTCTCCACCAAACTGCCCACACTCCCCATCCCACAGCGGGATGAGAGGGGCTGGGTTGAGAAGGGGTTACGGAAGGTTTTTTTGGGCCCACGGGACAGAGGAAGAGTCTGAACAGACGCTGCCATTGGTTATAGCACTCTGCAGGGAGATGGGACGCTCTGTAAAAAAAGAGAAAATGGTGGTGAATATGTTAATTTATTAATCAAGGAAATGTACATAATGACAAAATAGCACTTATGGTAATCAGGATGTTGTGGCTTCAATCCGACCTGTATGTTTTAACATTCCCTTTAACACTCATAATTGCTGGAATACTCTCCTGTGTTCATTATCTTAAAAAGCAACTACAGCAACTAGCAAAATAAATCAATGACAAAGTGGTTTTACAGGTCCTGTTCACACTAACATACCCCAAAAAATGCTTTTGAATGCTTGTTTTTAAACATTTGCATAAATTGCATTGCAGAGGAAAATCCCACGCCTGTGTCTCCTAGTGCTGAGCGGATGTGGCTCTGCCCTGAGGGAGCCCACAGACGTGTCATCAGTTGTACTTCTGTGTACAGACAGCTGTCTCGGATCACAGCTGGAAAAACTACACTTCTCCCTCCACTACATGATACAGGGCTGCATAAAAAGAGCAACTTGAAACAAGCTGAACATTGTGTTTCATAAATTATTTAAATACATTTGTACTACTAACACAACTTTCACTATAAACTTTGTATCCTGAATGTACAGACGTACAGACTTCAAAAAGGAACAAAAATTTAGTGCCTATCTCCTCATGCTTGATTGATATGAATATGGTCATATCTGATCTATCTCTACACATCCTCCATCTTGCTTCTTTTCAGACAACCTCATTAAGGTTCACTATTGATTTCACCCAAGTGACCCTCTCTCTTTCCGTGCATAAACACCCAAGCAGCTATAAACCACTGAGACTGTAAAATGCTGCAGCCTTCAGACTATAAAGAGGACCTGAGGGAGGTGAGCTCTGTTTAGTGTAAGGCCAGTGGACGTGGCACCACAGACTTAGTCAGACACTGGTAATTGTCCTCTGCAGTTTAATACAATAGAAGTAATAAGTACAACTTAACAATTTTATAAAAATATTGAATTAAAATTTCACTGACAAGTTTTCTTATAAGTTTGTCTCAATGGAGATAGATTTAATTCCATACTGTGGGCCTTTGCAGGCATAGCAATAACATCTCCATGGAGACAACCAGGTAATGCCACCAGGCCTGGTTACGGGTCAGATCTGTGGAAGGTGAGTCAGCTCACAATAACAATGCATGTTTTTCATATTTTTAATCCATAAAAACACATGTAATTGAATAAACTGCCGGTTTGCGGTGTAAAGCTGCAATTGATCCAAATGGCCAAAAGAGCCTTAGCCTACTCTTCTGAGGATCTCAGTCAGGACCAGATCAAAGCAGCTTTATCTCATGTTTATATTCATGAGCAGCAATTTGCTTCAGTGTACTTTCTTTCATAGTATCATATTCCTACTTCAGAACTACAGAAGCTAGAACTATATCTTCTAGATTGAATAGTTCATTAAGTCAGATACAAATAAACCTGGAAGGCTGAGAAATATGTTTACTCTTATTCTGTGAGTAAAACCTCACCGATCTGAGTCAGTGCAGGTGGTGTATGTTTGAGGATGTAATTGACATTGTATGAATAAATCATGAGTGTGTCAAACCTAATGGCCAGTGGCCAAGGTCTGACACAGTATTTTTAGGTTCAGTATTTTACTGCATTTGCGTCAAGTGGTCAATCGATGATTGACGAGAAACTCAGATGGGGAAAAGAAGATTGAGGCAACACAATTTATTTTGGGTAAAATCCTTTTAGGCTGCAACCCAGCCTTAACAGCTCTGAAAAATGGTGCACCCAGTTGTTTTCCATAATTGCCTTGTAGTTTATGGGCCAGAATAAACTAGGAGACACAGAGATTTACAGCCAGCACAACTAGCCACAGGGTCTAAACACTACTCACCTCTTTAAATCAGACACACTGATCAAAGCTCTCCTTCCTCTCTGTTGTCTAATTGGAAAGGGCTCCGGTCATGAGTTGTACCTTTTATTTAAGTTAAAATGATTTAATTTCTGTGATTAAAGATTGTTCCTTCAGAATATCAGACTCATTTTGATTCACAAAGCACATTCATATGGGGAGACTTATCTTGAATAAAAGTTAAAAGATGTATTTCAGGGGGTCAAATTTTCTTTACAGTCTCTTGAAAATGAAAAATACAAGCTTGGGCATGTCAGTTTTAAAGCACAGATGCTAGCGCAGTGCTGTTTGAAAATGGGTCCATCAACATTGCCCACCCCCATATATTCAAAACTGTTTCATCATATCCAAAGTTTATGTTTGCAGGTTAAGTTTGTCTGTTACATCCAAAACTCCCACTCAGCAGCAGCAGTACACTCTTACATAAGCCCTGGTGGTTCTCACAGCTGTGGAGCTGTAAAACACTGTGCAGCACTCACTGACCTTATCTTTTGTGCAAAAACCAGCTTCAGTGTTTCTACCTCCCACTGACACCAAACTCACCTGCTCCACTCCACTCATTTGGTTATATCACTTCAAAATATTACCTTTATAAGTGTAGATTCTAAAATTACACAGAACAACAGTTGCATAGTTACAAATGAAGGCTAACCATGCTGTTGGATTTTTATAATAGAGGCCAGGCCGCATTAAATATGTGATAATAATATGTTACTATAATACTATACTGTTATCTTTATGTGTATTGTATTGTATGCTCATTTAGGTGTGATGACAAACACATGCACTATAGAAATGCACAACAGTCTGATTATGACACAAAGCTTTTACAGTATTTTCTATGTAGGAAAAAAATTGTGTACTCTTTTACAAGAAACGTGTGGGGTTCCCCATCTTAAATTACTTTTAAAATGGCAACAAGATCAATACTGTTATTGAGAGGCAAGAGCTCAGTCTAAATATCATAGGTTCTGTCTCCCACGATTGAATGGCTTCCTGCTGATAAAAGGCAGTGATGCAAGGAGACACATCTCCCTTGGAGGTTATTTAAACGGACAGTCAAAGCATGCATATATTCTTTTTCATGTGTGATGAATGCACTCTTGTATATCATGTAACACCTATGTGTGAAATATAACACCAGCCACACAAGAACATGGGAACATGTTCAGATATGCCCTTACACTTCTTTCTCTTTTCATGGTTTTCATAATGAGCTAAGAGAACAGAGTCTTGGATTTAAGGCGCTGTGACATAAATAACAGACAAACTATGAAATTCTGACGTATAAATAACTATATTTTACAAGTCTTGGTGCTGAAGCCAAAAGTCCACTGTTCAGCTGCACAATCTTTCCATTGATGACAAGTTCTCCAGTCTTTTCTAAGGTCAAAGGGTGACTTGTCGTCAGAGAGAAAGACACAGGGCCCTATTGAGTTTGCAACTGTGTCACCAACATGACCTGCAGGTAAACAAGTGGACAACTTTGCTTAGGATTTGGCCAGACTATGCCATTACATTAGGGTTGGCATCGTATCACAACAAAAATGGATTACAGTTTAGATTATGTACAATGGGTAGCTTTTGTTTCCATTGCCATAAAGATGTAATAATCTTTCCAAATTAACATATTGTAATTTGATTAATAATCAGGTATCAATACTGAAGCATATAAACAAGACATCTTTTTTTTTACCGTTCCTGAATGACTGGATCATTCAGTACTATAAAACCACTTTACTATTAAAGAAACCGCTCTTACTTCACATAGAAAATTGTACAAAAAAAGATTGGATCAAGACAACACTAATTAAATTAAATGAAACTGAAATGTGCACGCAACCGCACATACTATATTGCTCACATAAATGTTGCTATGGACCCTTCTCACTACTACTAGTACTACTACTAGTATATAGCTCTGTAGGCTATTGTATTTTTTGACAAATTCAATTACTCCAGGTGAGTACAGTGAAGGAATGGGGTTATCTGGGTTCACTGGTGGTGATGATGTTTCATGAAACTCTATTGATTTGGATCTGACTGATGTTATGTAAGGCTTCAGATGACTACACCCATGGGGTTGGGTCTTACCGTCACCGTAATTGAAAAAACACAATTGCATTGCAGGGTTTCGGATGACGCCACAATATTTTGTGTATGCCTGTATCTTAAATTAGGATTATTTTTGTCATGAAAATATTTATGTTAAACTGAATTTAAAGTTCTGAGAATTCATCAAAATTACTGGATAACTAAATGTATCCTATCCTTTCAGTCATGGTGGAATCTAAAAGATAAAAGTAGAGTTAATACATTTAGGTTTCCGTTTTTGAAGTAATGATAGTCTACAGTGTCCAGAAACTTGATCACTGATTAACCGGTTAATCTTACCTTCCTTATTAAGAGTGAGATAAACAACAATTGTTATGCTGATTTTGTATGGTGTATATTGTGTATATATTGTGTGTATGTATACATCTTCTCTCCACCATATTGTCATGGTAGTTTTTTTTGTTCTGCACATCTGGAACAAATAAAAAGGTTATCATGTCTATACCACTGAATTTACTTTTGCCAGTAATAGTGTGTTCAGGCAGGAATTGAACTGTCAACACTGAACATCTAACTAATGATCAATACAATAATAATTATTACATACAAGGAATACAAAAATAATACATACACTAAAAGCTTAGCTTAAAATATTGTTTATCACTGTGTTGTAAAACTCACTAGATATTATTATCCCCATTTCCTCTTAAATGTTCCCACGAAACTGTGTGTCTCCAAAAAGATCTGAAATATTTTCCCGCAGAAATCAGAGAAAGCAAACAACTAAACTATGCCATGCATTTCACCTGTTTCTGAACCCGATCCAAGCCTCATTTGGTTTCAGTTCACCTTGTAATGCCAGCAGAGCGCTGTTCTGTTTGCCAACTGCGGCTGCTAGCTAAGCCTGGGTCAGTCCAGAGCAGTGGTCCAAATCAATGAGGAAACAAAACTACATTCTTAACATTTTTGTCTGGGTAAAAATTAATGTGCTTTCACCTGTACCAATTGAAATGTGAGAGAGTCCTATATTTAAACTAGTCAGTCAGAATGAGAGAAGGCCTGTAACATCAGACATTT